TCGTCGAGTCCCCTTAGTTACGGATTATCCGCAGAAATGCACAGCGTGTTGTCAATGCGGTTGTATTTATTTGTTGTTTGGACACTGGTTAGGCTCTCGCAAATACGTTTTTGAAACGTCCCATGCATGGTATTTTCTATTTATTACAGTAATGCAAAATTTTATTTGACTTGTTTTAGATTTATTACATTTCAAATTACATCCAAAAGTTTAATTGCGAATATGAATTTATAAATATGAAATGAATAAATATGAAATGTATGTGTGTGAATGTTTGTTATTGTTTTGCACTGAAATGGCTTTTTGACGGATTTGGATGAAACTTATTACAAGGATACACTGTGACCTGGAATCCTGTCTAATAAATTTCTCTAATCTGCATAACTTCCTTTTGTTAAGTAGATTAACTTATTTCTGGGGATTGTAAATTCAAATTTCGTTTAGACAAGTTTAATATGTTCGTTTTATTTTTTACTATCAAGTGATAAGCTATATTTGGCGTTATTAATGATTTTTTTTACAATTTTTTTTCTATGTATCATTTAGTTTTAATAATGGGAGTTAAGAGATAAACTTTAGCAAATTGTATTTTTTATGGATAACAAGAATGGAATTTTTATATGTAACAGACTCTATTTACTTAAATCAGAATTTTCTACTAAGTCCTTCTACTGGTTACGAGCAAATATTCTCAACGCAAAGGGATTTGGTTATAGTTCAGTTTCTTTCCAATAATATGCTTGAGATGTTAATTTTCAAATAACATTGCACGGATAGTGAGTCCTTACCATTGTCTAGTACTCAATCTCTTGTAGACGATATATAGACATCTTAATACAAACATGTAAGAACTGACTAGAACGCATATACATAATGTTAATTAGGTACAGTTTCAATAGAAAAAATATTTTTAAGATATTTAATTTTTGTTTAATTTCATAGTAGTTATTGTTTGTATTTAATTAGGATTTTTTAACGACTACAACACTTAAAATATACTTAGAACCCTTTGAATTTCTATCAAACTTTATCTACAAGATGTCAAGATTAAACGCATAAGTGTAACAAATTTAAGCCATCATAACATGAAATAAAATGAAAATTATAGTAATCCGAAGCGCGTATCTGAGAACCCTCCACAGCGATTAGTTATGTTACAAGTGCTACACATGGCCCTCCTCAGGGCAAGGGGTCCATCTCGGCACATATGGCTTGCTGGGATTCCCAACTATCTTGTCAGTTGGACCGTGAAATATAGTTTATTGTTCAAAAATGTGGTCGGTTTTTAAATAACGTGGAGAAAATTGCGCCAAGTTCACGCCCTTTGTTGTTTTTAATGCTTTAGTTAATTTATTTGTACATCGCACGTGCTTCTATCAAGTGTGATTTATTAATTTAAAGAAAAAACATTAATTTAACAAAAACTAAGAAACCCTGTACTTAGTCTGTCAATTATAAGAATATTCGTATTTACGATTACTGGAGTTGTAGGCAGTGTTAGGTCTATAATATATTGTCATACAAACAATTTTAAAAGTATTTTATGGTTTAACGATTAGTATGAAATACAAAGCTTTGAATTTTTCGGCTTTCCTGTACTATAATATGCATGTACGAGTATTATACATATAAACCTTTCTCTTGAATCGCTCTATCTATTGCTGATAACTACGTCAAAATTCGTTGAGTAGTTTAAAAGATCTAAGCGAACAGACAGCGGAAGCTCCTTCATTTTATACTATGTAAAGATTAAATAGATCTTCTAAAAATATTTATCTACTTTTAAATTTGTTATTACAAGCAGTTTTAGATAAAAACCGATATTTTGTAAATCAATAAAACCAAATCTACAATTATAATTTATGACACAGCTAATAAAAAAATCACGCCATCTAAGCTAATTTCCATTCACAAAATAACCGAATACGTAACAAAAAGCAACATATGCAATCATTACTATAATGTAATGCCATTTAACGTAATCAATTTGAGCTTCTACGTAAGTTAGGGTGGCAAATTACCAGTCACACCCCTAATGATCGCTTCGGATTCTGTAGGGATGTTAATTTCGAAATATGTATTTCATACAGAACTTTACGTTTTTTTACCTATATTTATAAAAACTTTTAATATAAACAAGAGTATGGAAACTTAAAAATGCTTCACAGTTATATTATAACTAAATAAATTATAGTACACAGTTATATTATAAATAAATAAAATGCAACTTACATCGTCTGCCTTTACGGGCAAAGGGTTTGGCCAGTAACCAATGATTTGCTTTTCATTTTTATATCGAGACATAATATATATATTCATCATATTTTTATTTTCTCTGAATGAAGGCTAGTTTCTTATCGACTAGCGTAATAGGTACTTACAATAATATTTTTTTAATATTCATAACTTTATATATTATTTAAGCAAGCTATATTTTAAATAATATATTTATTATTTTCGAATTACCACTGCAGTAAAGTACAGCTGTAAAATTAAAAATCGTCAACCCTTAATATTTAGAATGATGAACCTCCCTCTGTTGATTTTTAACATTGGGGCGACCAGAAAATATCAAGTGGTGATTTATTACAAACTGACATATTTTGTTAACTTTTAAATGATGTCTTTTGAATAAACGAGGGTGGCTCATTTAGATTTTTTATTGTTTCCCATAATCCAAATTAGGTTATAAATATTTTATATACACAAAATAGAAATTTTGGTAAATTACTATGGTTTGGTTGACAATTTTAATTAATATCGTTGTAGAAATTTTATTACATACTTTTTGTGCATTTATTTCTGTGAAGCATTATAATTTTATTCAAAATTTGAAGTTTTATATTAGTATAAATGTGTTATTATATATTTAAACAGCTAAGTACGTAAAATTGTTAAAATATCAATAATTGCTATCAAGCGTTAGATATTACCATAAAACTTTTAAATTTACTTCCTTAGCATTAAAATGAAATCGTTATTTCAATTTCAAAAAATATAACTTTTGTAAATGGCATATATATAGCCATATTAAAAAGAAATAAAAAATTTATTCCGTTTAAAATCCCTTTGAAGTTGCTATACCTATTTACTTAATTCTAAATATTATTAGAGAAATAAGACTTAAAAATGCCGTGTGCTTAAGAATGGCTTGGCTAGCCACTGTTAATAAATATTATGTTTATTTTGAAAATATAATTTGTAGTGAAAACTACTAAAGGGAGGTTTGTATGGGGAGTAAATTCATGTAAGTCGTCATCGACATGGTCACGTGACGTGTTAATGCTAACACTCAGAGTGCCGATAGATATCAAAACCAGATAAATGTGAACAGTTTTGATTTACTTTTAATTTAAGATCAAACAATTTGAATATCTAAAAATAACAACTGTTTGTTTATAGTTTTAAGTTTTCACTTCTGTAGGCAGTCCTCATGACTGCTTCAATTTAAGATCAAACAATTTGAATATCTAAAAATAACAACTGTTTGTTTATAGTTTTAAGTTTTCACTTCTGTAGGCAGTCCTCATGACTGCTTTTTAACCCCCGACGCAAAAAGAGGGGTGTTATAAGTTTGACGTCGATGTCTGTCTGTCTCTCTCTCTGTGTGTATGTCTGTGGCATTGTAGCTCTCAAACGGATAGACCGATTTCGATGTGGTTTTTTTTCATTTGAAAGCCAGTTTTCTTGCGATGTTTCTTAGCTATGTTTGGTTAATATCGGTCCAGCAGTGTAAGAGTATCATCCCCCCCAACGTGCGTTCACCTTGTCGTGGTGGGGGGGCTCAGTAGTGCCCGGCAATCCAACCGGGCGCGAAGCTAAGAAACGCACAGGGTGGTTGCCCACTTCGGTGGGCGGTGGGAGGTGGCCCTCTTCGGGGGGCGGTGTACCTTGCGGGTTGCTCCTGGTACTTCTCTGATAGCAGAGTGGACTGTGGAGCAACCCCATGGTTGTGGTGGTCTGCTTCGGCAGACCTGCCGTCGGGGCGTCGTAGTTGAATGCGTAAGCGATCCTGCGACGCCCCATTAAGACGGGGGAAGGTTTTGATGGGTTTTAGTGGGTAGTACTGGCTGTATTACGCCGGTGAGTCCCACACGTCGTGCGTAAATGCATTTCCCAACGTTAAAAAAAAAAAAAAAAAGTGTAAGAGTATCATTAGCTTTTTTCTGCGAGTAAAATAATCAATAGCAATATTTATAAAACGCTTTATACAGGTATAATGAAATACTTGTTATATTTTATCTTTATTTAGCAAAAAACATAGTATAGTTACGAGTCTAAATCTTGTGCTTCCTTATTATAAAATAAATAGCTAACCAAACGTAAGGGAAACTCCCTTATAGCTATATATTATCGCCCTTGCTCCAAATATCCAATTGATATTGGATACGCCAAATTCACACGCATTATTTGTGTTTTCCATGCTATTGTTGCTCACTAGCCGTATGGTTTATTGGGTGGTGAAATGTACCAGATTATAATAATGACTTACTTTTGATATTACCATTTGTTTCATTGTGCATAGTGAAATTATGTTTTGGAGATTTTAGTGAGAATAAAATTAATTAAAAATTACTGATTATTATTACTTTTTAACAAAAAGGCACACCGACTTTAATATAACTTAAAAAGTATTTTTTTTTCACCTACAGAGATATTTTTTTTATTCACTTTGCAAAAATCTTGTAATAATAATCTATTTCTTTTCATCCTTATTAAAAAAAAAAACAAAATTCTTCCTTAGTTTACTCGTTTTTAATGGAATTTTTGTGCAAAATTTGATGTTTCTTCAAAAATTTGATTTTTTAAGAGCAACTGAAAGTGGCCTGCCAGTTATGAAATGTTATAAGACCTTTATTAAGTAGAATATATGTAAATATGCGATTTCAATGCCAGAAACAAATCTTGCGTAATCTGTCTAAAAAAAAACAAAATTAAGAAAAGTCTAAATCTATTATACACAAGGTACCTATATAGTTAAATCATTTTTTCTTGTCAGCATGGAGGCGACTAACTTGGCGCTGTCTCCGCGGGAGACGCTTAAGCCCCGATCAGAACACAAGGCCTTGGAAATGAGTAGTAAGCCTAATCAAGTAAGTATATTATATGCCTAATAACAATTCATAACTAAATTTAATAAAATATGAAAATAAAACAATATATTTTTATCGTAATAAATTTAATGACTACCTGCAAAGTACATTAAAGTTAAATATTTCTTAAATATTGTACACACGAAACGACTATGAGTAAATTTTCATAAGACACTTTGTCTAAATAATAATTTTACGGAGCATTCATAAGATTTTAAACAAGTTTTTTCTAGTTCAAACAATTCTTATAACCGAGATCAATTCACATTTATAGTATTTATATAGATTTAAACATTTTATTTACATTATGACTTATCGAGTATTATTTTTGAACCAGGTGGGAACAGTGCTGTTATATGGCGTACCTATAGTGTCACTAGTCATCGAGGGTATCGAACGTTTATGCCTAGCCCAGATATCGAACACTTTGCTAAAACAGTTCTCTTATAATGAAATTCACAATCGTCGGGTGGCTTTAGGCATTACGTGTGTCCAGTGCACTCCAGTGCAACTGGAAATCCTCCGTCGGGCTGGAGCTATGCCGGTTTCTTCGAGGCGGTGTGGTAAGAATTCTTAGGACATCTGATGTATTGTATTTATTTGTACATACTGATAGCGTATAAGTGATAAAAACCTTAGACAGTTAATACTGTAAATGCGAAAGTTTGGATGGATACTTGTTACTCAATCACACTAGAACGGCTGAACGGATATGGATGTTTAGCACAGAGATAGGTTATAGTCTGGAATAGTACATAGGTTACTTTTCATCTCGGAAAAATGTACAGTTCCCGTGGGATAGATTCGTTTTTGTTTTGCGAGGGACGAACCCGAGTAAAGCGAGGGTAAATAGCTAGTGAAAACACTAAATTAAACATTACATGAGAAAACATTTCATATGATATTATGACATAATATAAAGTTTAAAGACTAAGTTCAAAAATGTGATTTGATATTACTTTGTAAGGTAAGGTGGTTTATAAAAACGTGAATTTAGTGCGATAGACTCTTAATCTAAATAAATACTTAAACATTGTAATGCCATTGTACATCGGTATGTCACTAGGCGTTTACCTAGTATAGAAAGTTACGTTATCTTGTTTTATTTTCAAACTAGCGATAAGTTGATTCGCCATACAAATTTTCATCCCCTTTTTCACCCCCTTAAGGAATGATTTCCAGGATAAAAAGTATCCTATGTCCTTCCCAGGGTCTCAAACTATCTTCTTACCAAATTTCATCTAAATCGGTTCAGTAGATTCAGAGATTACCCCCTACAGCGTCACAAACTCACAAACTTTACCTCTTCATAATATTAGTATAGACAAACAGATTAGATCTTACAATCAATTGTTTTAGACTTCTAGATAGAGATATGTTATAGTAGCGAATGGTTTTTCTTTAACCCGCTTCCTGGTTAGCTTACTTTACAAGATGTCTGCCCGATCCCTAGCTTAAAAGTCCCCTAAACTAGCCCCTAAATTAAATTTTGTTTTACGATCTCTTTAAGCCCATATTTCGAGCACCTAAATTTAGGGAGCCTTTTAGTATTTAGGTGACCCCTAACTGTCGGTGAAACAGAAACTGTCCCCTAACAGCCCCCTAACCATGCTTAGGGGATCCCTTAAACTTAGGTGACGTTGGTGAAATCGGGCAGTCGTCTTTTTACGTTTCCTTTCTATCTCTCAACGGCCTTTACAAAATCAGTTTTGTACCATCAAAGAAAACACCCAGATACATGGAATAGTATCGAGTTGTAATCTCAAACCCACCCGTTAAAGCAATTCTCAGTGGATTACCTACACTTAAACCTTCCCGGTACATAATCACATGTCTACTGACACGTAAATAAGTACTTGTCTTGAATGACGCGCAGCGCTCCTTTTGATTACATTTTTGTTAACAAACAGTTCAGTTAGATGTTATTAGTGACTGACTTTAAAGCTGACAAGCTAATCTTCGCGTAGTTATTAATCGATTTTCATTTTCTTAATTAATAAGTATATAATATACCATAAGGATGACAAGAAAAATTCCACTCACGTAGATGGAATAATAATTGTTTATAATGTGATTTCTAAATTCCCTTCGGATTTGTAGAATAAACGATTTTTTCCGACTTAAATCACAAATATCAGTATATTGCTCTTAGGATAATTTCTCTTTATATTAGTAAAAATTGTATGAAAATGTGTGCATCAGTATATAAAATTTGCAGGAACAAACACAATCTTGCAGTGAGATTTTTAATTTATAATATGTATTGATTAAAAGTTTCAATAATTTAATTCAGTCTTAAAGCGATTGAAATATTTCATTCATGCTAAATACCTACTGTTATTTTATTTTTCTTGTATAAGTTAGCCATTAGCCAAGTAATATAAAAGAAATTTTCCATAATTTGAGTGGAATATAAAATGTAAACTAATATGTGTGATGTTTAATTTTCCTAAATATTTTACATATAATTTATTTATATCTCTAATTTATTTTATTTATAATATTTGATAGGTATGATAACTCGTCGTGAAGCGGAACGTCTTTGTAAGTCGTTTTTAGGGGACAACGCTCCACCCAGACTTCCCGACGACTTCGCATTTGCGGTACACCATGAATGTGCTTGGGGATGTAGAGGCGCGTTCTTACCAGCCAGGTAAACTACTTCTACAATTAAAAAATATATTTTTTTTAAATATTAAGCCTAAATTTTTAATTTTATTAGAGAGACTCGTACTTTATGGGCACATGCTTAAAACACTTCGAAGTACGTGTTATGTGTTTCTTTTTAGTACAATTAGTAATATTATATTCATTTCTACTTCATTTAGGTATAATTCATCTCGAGCGAAATGTATCAAATGCGCCTACTGCGGCTTATTTTTTTCACCGAACAAGTTCATTTTCCACTCACATCGTGTTGGACCAGGAGACAAGTATGTCCAACCAGATGCAGCTAACTTTAACTCTTGGAGACGACATATGAAACTTAGTGGTAGTCCTCCTGTAGAGGTTATACATGCTTGGGAAGATGTTAAAGCTATGTTCAATGGAGGAACGAGGAAAAGAATGCTATCTGCTGCTAGGTAAGCGCTTCTAATTCATTACTCAGAGTTTAGAGAATCTAAAATTTACTTCCTATCGTCAAATAATTTTTATTGATAGTTAAATCATTTTTTCTATTTCGCATACTATGATTTATGATATCACGGTATATACAAATCAGTGTAAAATACATAGAATGTTAGATGTTGAATAATAATAATTTTAGGTGAACTTCAGTATTATTCTTACTTTAGGTACATTTAAAACTATCTGTACTAATGTCATAAATGTGAAAGTTTGTAAGTATAGATGTTTGTTACTCTTTTACGCCAGAACGGCTGAACGGATCTGGATGAAATTTGGCACAGAGATAGGTTATAGTCTGGAATAACACATTTTTTTATCTTGGAAAAATGTATGGTTCGGGAGGGATAGATTTGTTTTTGTTATTCTAGAGGCGATCCCGAGTGAAGCGAGGGTGAGCTGCTAGTTTTAAATAATTAAAAAGTTCAGAATTAATACTAAAAATAACTACAAAAATAACATAATACTAATATCGTAATTTCAATATCATAGTAACATAGCTAATTAGATTGTATAAAAAAACTAAGTATAAGGTTTCTGTTGTCTTACAAAGTTCGGTTTAAAATTGTGCCACAGAAGGGTCCCAATTCGCAGGCCTGAAGTCGAGACTGAAGTGAAGCGAGCCGCAGCCAGTCCTCCCTCACATACACCAGTGCCTCGACTAGCTGACTACGTGTGGGGGGCGCGACTACCGCTACCCTATGCGTTACCGTGGCTTAAACCTACATTGTGGTCTCCTGGTGAGTAGACCATATTTTAATATACCTATATAACCTCATTTCTGACACTAATATGAACTTTTAAATGAATTTAATTAAAATCTTGGCTGGCTTCAAAGCGTGCCAGTTAAGCACAGATACAATATACATATATATATATATATATATATATATATATATATATATATTTAATTGTAATTATTATTATAATTAAAATAATTAGAAACATGAAATAATGTTATTAACGACACTTATTTTTTCTTTATTTTACAGTTTACTCCATATTTCGTTATAGGTTTTATTATTATGAATTCTAACATTATTAGAGATGTTTACATCTACCGGGCTTCCCCTGACGGCCAACTTTGTTTTAAGTTATAAGTGATTTTAAATTTTTTTCTACATTTATAGTATCTGTTTTCTATATTTATAAGACAATAAATATAACTACATATTTATTCTAAAAAAGTTTAGTTATAAATGAAATTTCAGGTGCATTAACAGCGTTAAGCAGCGTTGGTGCCATCGAAGAGCCCCGCGCTTTCCGTCCGGTGCGCTCGCATCGCTTGGAGTCGCCCCAACTATCCCCGGTCATTTCACCACCTCGAACTCCAAATAGGTATAATACTTGGACGTCATTTTCTTTTTCTGTAAGAAAATGTTTTGTATTATCTAGTATAGTGGTTTTAAAGGTAATATTAACATTATTCTTATAATTATCTATATACATACATACGATAAATAATAACTTAGCGAAATCGATGTGCGCGTTTGACGTAAAAAGCACTGAACCGATTTTAACTAAATTGTATGTAGTGATATCTTTTACTACAGGAAAATCTTTTATTGCCACGGGAAGGTACAATAACTGGTTCCATCGAGTCGTCCTTAGAAATTTACATGTATAATGCTGGCTAAACCTTGAAAGATACATCAAATACTAGAAAATTGTAGGTACTCGTATATAAGGCCTACAGAAAATTATTTTATGGTTTTACTAAGGTACACTCGCAATAACTATTTAAAACGAGGCTAGGGACGCACCCGAGCGAAGCGACGGTAAGACACTAGTCTAAAAATAAGATTATTACATTTTGTGTTTCTAAAGTAAATTCTTAAATTACCTAGTTTATATACATAACTAAACAAGGATACTCTATTTTAAACATTGATGATTACTTCAGTGTTTATAAAGGTTTATGTAATGTACATAAATATTTTCTGTACCTATTTAAATACTGATTAATAATAGTGCTTAAACTATTTTTCCTTATGTCTATACAAAGTATGGTCCCGAAATTTATAGATAACGGCATAAAACCTAAATTAAAACCTTTTTTTTTTTTTAACGTTGGGAAATGCATTTACGCACGAGGTGTGGGACTCACCGGCGAAGCCAGTACTACCCACTAAAACCCAACAAAGCCTTCCCCTGTCTTAATGGGGCGTCGCAGGATCGCTTACGCATTCAACTACGACGCCCCGACGGCAGGTCTGCCGAAGCAGACCACAACAACCACGGGGTTGCTCCAAGGTCCACTCTGCTATCAGAGAAGTACCAGGAGCAACCCGCATGGTACACCGCCCTCCGAAGAGGGCCACCTTCAACCGCCCACCGAAGTGGACCACCTCCCTGTGCGTTTCTTGGCTTCGCGCCCGGTTGGGTTGCCGGGCACTACTGAGCCCCCCCATCACGACAAGGTGAACACACGTTGGGGGGGACCTAGATTAAAACCTAACAGAACCTTTTGAGCGTCTACTGTTTCTTTTTCATTATAATATTTTTTTTATTAATTTTAAACATTTTTTTTTTAGTTTTTTTATCACTATAATAATAATATATAAACCATTCGTAGGTCACCCACCACGTCACCAAGACGGTCTCGGTCACCTCTCAGATCTCCTGCTCGATCCCCACTCACATCTCCCCTACGGTCTTCCCCTGCACGCTCTACAAAGAGCGATCGCGACAGCGACGAAAGTGTTGACATCGAAACCACAGAAGAAGACCATACTAAGGATGTGGTAAGTTAAATCATTTTTTTTATTTTATTGCATTTTTTATATTGAAAATGCCTTCGCTAACTTGATGTTGTGACAAAAGAGCAAATTATATAACATGTGGATTTAAGACTTAAAAAAATATTAAAATTAGTTTTGCATTCATAATTTTATAACAATATGTGTATATTAATAATGATAATGAAATAAAATAATATTAATATATGAAGAAATAACTTTGTAGGTACCTCTTTTTAAGCATATTGGGCGTAGCTTTAGCTAATTTAAAGTTTATATAGAGAAGGACTGCACAAAGCAAAATTTTTTGGACGTGTCACATCGCATTTCCGCTAGCGTTGGTTCTTATATAGCGGTAGAGTGATGTTAGATATTATAACGTTCATAAATTTTATATAATATAGAAGACTAAAAAGATTGTTGTTTGTCTGCACGTGCTTATTTCTGGAATGACGGATCCGAGTCGAAAATATCTGGTATTTTCTAAGTTGTTTACTGAACAAAGTTACACTTACAGTCTACCTATAGGTATATGACAAAAAATCCTTAATAATGTTCAAAGTTCATAAATTATGTTAGGTTTTTGACTACGGGGCGATTACTAGTAAATATAAATAGTACGTAAATACTCAAGTCATACCGATACATATAATAAAATTCTAACTGAGTCGAACCTGTTACGTTAAATATTTTTTGGAATATCTTATGGAAATAGTCATTATTATAGGTACAGAGGCCGAATCTATAGTTTTTAGAATTTTAGTTTGTTTGTCTGTCTGGGTAAGCATCACGAGAAAACCACTGGACGGATTTTGATGAAATTTGATATGATGATAGCTGGTTATCCGAATCAACAATATAAGGTGGTAGGGACGAACCCGAGCGAAGGGCGAGGCGCTAAAAGTATATAATATCTTTATCGAACTAAAAACTAAAACTATTTCGTTTCAATTTTAGTGCAGCCTCTTTTATAAACCGCGTAAACGTTTCTCAAAGATGCAATCTAATACCTAAGTATTGAAGCGATCGTATTATCTGGCGACATTCGAGCCAAACGGAGCTCGAATTGGATCCAATTTAAAAAGTTGCAGGAAAATTTTTCCAATCACATCCCCAACGTAATCTGCGATTAGTCTTCTTTCTGAGTTACTTAGTGGCGTTTTACAATTTTTATACGTTTATGTAATAAAATGGTAGCTTATTTTTAGATACTTGCTTTAGCGTACAGCTTTGTGTCATATAGTTCTATCTACTGTTTTATGTATCGGTTATACATAGATATATACTTAAGTTTCTTTTGACTAGAGGCTAATTTTTAAATCACCAGATTAAATAATTTTTTTTTAAAAGAAAATTTTTATTTGCATGTCAGTTAAGTTTGAATATAGTATGTATCAGATTAAATTCATAATTTTTGGCATTACATTCCTTGTTGTTAGAACAAAATTGTTACACCGTAAACAACGTAAAACGCTAAAAACAGTTCATAAGATATGATTTAACAAAGTACCTACAGGTTATATTTAGTAAAGTTATGGGTTCGTTGAAATCCGTTAGAATCGATCATCTATTCTCATTTGATTCGTGAGCAAAAAGGCAATTAAAAGAATATTCTAAAATATTGAACCCACTATTTCTTATGTACTAGTAAAGTACCTACCTAAATACACCACCTGTCTGATCTTTAGAACTATTTCTAGGTATAAACTATCATTAAACTAAAGTTAGCTTATTACAAAATAATAAAAAATAGCAAACTAATTCTAACATTTCCCTTTCTATGGAAAGTAATGAATGCATTGATTAATTAAAATTCAGTTCCGAGCAAGATTTATAGATATATTTTAAGTTTCAAACAGACATATCCCGAGAGACGCCGCCATTTTGTACGACCGTTGGAACGAACATTGCACGTCGTAAACTCTGTAATTACTGGCGTGCTGAATTCAAATGGACTTCATTTCGCTTTTAAATAAGAGAAAATGTTTAATTTAGCACTGATCGGATCCTCTTGCACCAATTAATTGGGGATTTTCATTTTACTCCAAAACCGAACTTTTTGCATCTCCCGCGGCCTTTATTCAAAGTTCAATATACCTCGATTCGTAGTTTCTTTTGATTTGTGAAGCATGTTATGGAGTTCATAAATATTCAAGGAATTGCAATATTGAAACATGTTAATTTTTAGCTTTTGAAGATTTATGGATAATAATGTAAAGAGGGTTTCAGATCGGAATTTTTTTTTGTTATAATAATAGTAAAATAAATTTTGATCTATTAATATCGACATAGATACGATTATACTCGTAAATAAATAACTATATTTGTCATCGCTCTGGATTTCTGAAGATACTTAATTGTGATATAGGTATGATTTTTTCAATAATGCTGATTTCAGTATATTTGATAAAAATACTAATCTATGTCTATTTTCATGTCTAACTTTATCGATGTCTAGACCGAAGGGCTAATATAATTAATTAAAGTCATATAAAATTATGGGTAATTTCGATCCAAGTTTTCTAAGATCCAGCTTTTTTGTCTGGGTTAATGTATCAATGAGTCTGTCAACATAGAGGATATGTATAATATATACATAAACACAATATTATAATAACGGAAATTATTTAAGAAGAACATGTGAAATTTACTAAAAATCATATGAAATACTTTTTGGTAATAAAATCAAAAGTACTTTTTCGACTGAAAGGTTTATTGTCTTTTACTATTTGTCAGGAGAAGAAAAAGCAACATATGGCTTACGATGTAACCTAAATTCGTTTTTCGAGAGCCCATTGTTTTGAAGGTTTTATGAAACAGAATAGGGGTCATGAAAGATAGAGCTTTTTTTCTACTTTTAGAATAAGCTTTCTGGCATATAAAGTCTCAGTCGTAGATAATTGATTACTATATACATATTTGTTTATGGTGAAAATTATACAAGAAAGATGTTTGAAATATTGTAAAACTTAAAAAATTAAAACATTAATATTGTAAAACTTAAAAAAAATTGAAAGAAAATCTAGTTTGTTACGATTTGTATTATTTTTCGCTCAAAAAGCAAAAATAAAAGATGCGAAATCTAAGTGCCTATAGTTAGAATAATTTTTTTATTTTATAACATCTAGCTATTTTTTATCATTTTCATATAAACAACAATTCAAATGTTACTCTATTAGCAAAATCTGGTTTCTGATAGAAACAATGATCATGATTAATATGAACTCTACATTGTCTGTACGTGGGGCGTGTAATTACCTTGCCCTCTGGACCGTATTCCATTTGTATGCGATTGCTTATTCCATTAACTATCGCCTGAGGACAGTGGGTGTTTATTGCTGTGATATTACGCTTTGTGGATATTTTTATTAATAATAACGCTAAAGTTACATTCGTAAATCAGCCAAAAATAGACTAAAGGTCCCAATTACCATCTATATTTAATATTTCTTACTAGCGGTAGGTCTTTCATATAATTTTTAAGAAGTTAATGCTATATTTATTTCTACTACGGAAAACCATAGATAGATTGATTATTAAGATCCTTATACTATTTTATATTATAATTAACTAGCGATTCTCTCTCGCTCCGCTTGAGTTTTTCAAAAAAAGAAAGATTTGCCAAAAAATATTTAATGCACAGATTCGACTCAGTTAGAATTTTATTATATGTTATTATTATTATTTATTATTTATTTATTAGACTATAGATTTGCAAATTAAAAATATGAATTTCTGTGATAGCTCACATTTACATATCTTCATATCTATAGTCTAGCTAAATCTAAAAACCAAATATATTTAGAGATGAATACTAAAATAAATTCTAAACAAAGACTTTTGCTATTATATAAGAAGAAAAGATAAAAAAAAACTGAATTGTGATCATTTAAACGATACAAACGTGACTAAAAGCGAGCTCACTAGCACTGATTTATACCGACATCAAGTGGTACAATTGAATCGTCTAACAAAGTATCTATTAAATACGTGACTGGCATTAAGTTTACATGGAAGTGGCATGTGCGAAATGTATCGGATGATGCTTATTTTATTTATATTTTACTTGAAAAGTACCAAATAGTGTTTGGCGAACATATTGATCGATTTTGAGTGTTCGTGTAATTTCTATATACTGTTAAGAAGATATATTTTTAGTTTGTTTTTAGCGATATTTGGATGATATGGATAATGCCATTTGATGCCGTGTTTTGTCTTAATCAGAATAATTGACCTAGTAACCAAAGTTAATTACTAGGCTATGTCTAATAATCGTTTAAGATAATTGATGAGATGTGCATTCAGCCCTCTTTAACGTCCCACTGCTGGGCACGGGCCTCCCTTCAATGAGATCAGGCCATAGTCCACCACGCTAGCTAAGTGCGAGTTGGTGGACTGCACATCTTCTTGCAGTCTTTCGAAAACTTCTTAGGTTCTCTCAGACATGCAGGTCTCCTCACGATGTTTTCCTTCACCGTAAGACATGTGGTAATCATGTTGGAAGTGAGTCGCACATGAAAATATCAGAGTTGCGAGACCCGCTTCAATCGGTTTCCCAAGCGAGCGCCGTACCACTGCCACTACCACCATCACTTCTCGTACACTTTTTGTTCTATGTACCACGGGGGCTTGTCACTAATGTTCGTTTTGAGGATTAAGGGTGATTCGTCTTCAGAATTGGAACTGTTTGTATTCAAGACGGCCCGCGGTTAAAAATATATGGCAGTGTGGCGTTATTTGAACTATTATTCTTTAACGTGTACAGAAAGCTTTGGATATAAGCTCCCTTAGCCAGATAACTTTCTAAAATAGATATCGTTAATAGAAAACAATATATATATGTGAATGACACGTGACTTATCGCTTAGAAATGACATTCCTATACATTTTTTAGTTCTTTTTACGATAGCGTTTATAGCTCTACATACATATAGTCTCGCTCTTAAGGTTTTTAGATAAATTATTAGTAGATATAAGTATATTGTAGAAGTGTTCGCCTAAAAACT